ACCTAGAGTATGGATAAAATTGCCTTATGCTGGAAAGTTAGGTGAGCAGCTGGTTAATAAGTTAACTAAGAAGCTTAATAGATCTTTTAATACCAAGGTCAGATTTATAATTAGATATAACACCACCAAAGTCAACAACTACTGCTCAAACAAAGATACCATACCAGACATCCAAAAATCTAACAAAATTTATAAAATTACGTGCCCAGGTTGCTCACATTCTTACATAGGGAAGACTGACAGATGCCTTAAATTCAGATTAAATGAGCATGGGACTCGCGCAGATCAGCCTATGTTTAGACATCTAATAGATTGTACTTTATTCCGCGATGTTGTAGGCCTCATGGGACTATCTGGCATTGACATTGTCAATACAGTTCCGCTTGACCTCCATGACCACATTTCAAATGCAGTTCTCGAGAACTTTGAGGTCATCKACTGTAGCGACAATTGGTCATGCTTGGAGTTCCTTGAGGCTTATTACATCAAAAACATGAAACCATCTATTAATGAAGGACTGAAGGCCTCAAGGGACTTACAGCTTTTTTAATAAATTTCTGCACTTATAAATATTAACACCATTACATGACTATGACTTTGAATTAAAGTCAAATATTGTATTCGCTCTTCAGACTCGTTTCTTAATCCAAAATTTGGGTTGATTTCAAAAGCTATCTATAAGATCATGCCATGATCCTCAAAGATCATGACATGTTCCTGACAAGATCATGCAGTAATCTTGGGAAGATCAGGAAATAATCTTGGCAAGACCTTGAAGGATCCTGCAAGACCATAAATGACACACAAAAGAAGAAGAAGAAGAAGGTCGTTGGAAAAAATACTACATGCATACATTTGATGCCACTGTAGACACAAAAGCAATGCCATTTGCCTACCTTGATTCCAAAGATTCACCGTGTAAAGATCCAGACCCACACAAACTTTGTGAAAGTCCTCTTTGTGATGTTACAGATTTAGACTGCCTTGTTATCATACCATCCATAAGTGTTGTTTCGAAAATTCAACAATCCTGTCCAATCTGCACTGATAACCTCAGTAAAAGAGTGAATAACTTAGCACATAGTTCCAATGAAAGCTCACTGAAACCAACAACTCAGTCAAAGAAAAATCAAGATAACTCTGATGATGAAGATGATGATAATGATGACGATGAAGAAAATACTATCTCAGTGAATCACAGAGACCCATCCTATTATTTATCCAACCAATGGTAGTCACACATTGACAGAACAGTTGTTTGAACATTGTTTGAACAGTTTCTCGGTTCTGCAGCCCAATATTAACCATACATCACAATCAGCGAATCAGTCAAGTACTAACAATCCAAATCAGCCAGCTGCTTTGAACATCACAATTGCTAAAATGTCCATTGGGAATTCAATGTTTATTTTCTTACCAGCAAATGCATCTCAGGCCACAATTTTGGGAAGAAATGGATCCAATGCTTTCACATTCATAGTTTTATTGATAGCGAAATTGTACACAAATTCTGGACAATATCAACATCTTCAGCTTGGCCGTAATGGTGATTTAAATCAGTATTGGTTAACGTTGTTATTGTCAGCTATGGCCAGAGGCAAACAGCTATATGATGCTGTCACTCAAGGCTCTAACCAATGTTTGAAGGGTTGCTGATGTAAGAAACCATCTTTTAGCAGTTATTTCTCCAGTTACATTAGAAGACACCTTTGATGTCACCTTWACATGTGAGAATCCTCAAGTGCCTCAGAGTTCTTTGAGTTTTTATTTGCAACGACTCGTTCTTGAACGTCCATTAGCAGCTCTCGTTATCATCGATG